TCAGAGGTGTCATGGCTGAGGTTCAGTTGAAAGTCTTCCAGCTGGTGCTGGTGCTGGTAAATTGACTTAGATAGTTTTAGATGATCCAGAATCCTGTTGTGGCTTCCCATCCTTATGTGGACTGAAATATCTTCCTGACCGATAGATGGGACTTGACCTCGGAGGGAGTAGGGCAATACAAGCCTTTGACTGTAAATAGCAGAGTTTGCTCAGGGGATCTTTGGACCGGAGATGTGAGAATGAAAGGATGTGTCTCTTTTAAATATTCATCAGCTTCATCTAAATTTGTAAGTCTGGGTAGCTTCTGTCTCATAACCAGGGATCTTGGCTTTCCAAAATGTTTTAATTCTAGAAAAATTCTAGAAAATGTTGCAGCGCCCTGAATAGAACATGATCTGATTTAGCATGCTTAAGTGGCTCACATTTGCTGAACAAAACTTGATTTGGGGGGGGGGGAAGGACCCACTTTTAGACCTAAACAGATTCAAAACTTTACATAGGGGCTTATATTTGGTTCAGTTTTTTCACATCATGTATCATTACATTTACATTCTGCCTTTCCACCACTTTGCAGTGCTCAAGGTAACTTAAGGTAAGTAAATGATTAAAAGCAGCAGTTAAAACAAGATCAGGCACATAGTTTTTAAAACCAAAACACAGGATGAGGGAAATGAATCAATAAATCTACAAGCAGTTGAACTATTTACAATAAATGAAATGCTGTCTTAAGCAAGTTTAAAAAGATGTCCTTTCACACCCTTCGTAAAAGCAGGGAGAGTAGCAACTATTTGAGGGAAAACACATTCCTCAGTCTGTGGAGTCTGTCAAGTGGGACTCTGCACCTGCCAGCATTCTCAAGAGGCTGTCCCCTGGAAATGTAGAACATCTGGATGGGTTCATAATGGTTCAGCTGGGCCTCAAACCATTTATAGGGCTTTGTAAGTTACAACCAGAACCTTCAGCTGTGCCTGATGAGCAGTCAGAAGCCAGTGCAGAGCCTTCACTGGCAGGTGCCTATGACCTTGCCTATGACCTGCACCAGTTAGCAGCTGAGTGTCCATATATTGCACCAGCTGAAGATGCTGTGCCTTTTTTCCAAGGGTAGCCCCATGTAGAGCATGTTGCAGAAGTCTGTGTTGGCAAGGTTAACTGTTTAGATGAGGCTGATTCGACTGCTCCTTCAGTGTTAGGTGAGAGATATTTCCCTTACATTGGCTGATTAAACTTAAGGCCAAAAAAAAAAAAAAAGGCAGTGACAGCTGTGTCCATGATATACTATGATTATCCACTCTCCTGTTTGCAACAGGGTTTAATTCTCTTCTCTCTGAGCTTGTAGTGCTTGGCATAATGGGTGTTGCACATTTTCTATTGTTTTCTATTGTTCAGTTTGTCTGGTGCTGGTCGTTGACCATAATAAATCCATCCATTCATTCATTCTTCTCTCTGGGGCATCTCTCGTTTTACTACTGCTATCCTGCAGAATCACTTGCAGTACTTTGTTCAGTTTCAGTATGAAGCAAATTTCACTTAAACTATTTGGACCATATTTTCTTCTCCTAAAGGTTGGGGTGGGAGGTTGAAACAGCAGCCGAAATTCTGTTGCATAAGTTACACATGCAGAGGGAGGATGATATTACCAGAAGGGAAAGATATTTCATTATTAAAGGTGTTCTCTGTTCACCTGCAGATTCCACAGCTTCCACACAATGAAATGGATTGCTTATGAGTTGGACAAACCATAGGACAGAAGGAAGAAGTCTTTAATTATTTATTTAAAATACATTTACACCATCTTTCTCCTTAAAAACGGCCCAGGGCAGCTTACACAATTAATTACAGAAAACCTCCTTCCAGTAACATCAGCACTACAGATGGTCACGAACTGGTTCGTTCCAGTTTGTCCCAATTTGTAAAGGCAGTAGTACAGGTGCTGCTGTCCCCCGACCTCCTCAGCCAATCTATCCACTTTCCAGCCCACCTTACATGTATTTTCCATCTCCTCAACTAATCTCCCAGTCATGAGCAAGAGCACAGACTTCTCTGTCCTGCCCTTTTGTCTGAGTGGCAGATCAGCCCAGAAAGCAGGACAGAGAAGCCTGAGCTGTTGCTGGGACTGGCAGATCGGTTGAGGAGGCGCAGGAAGCTGCCATGCTAGGCCTGGTGAGTGGCTGATTGAGCCCAGAGGAGGCAGGGCAGGAGAGCAGCAGAACCTGTGCTGCCACTTTTATGAACTGCCACAAACTGGAACAAACCGATTCGTGCCCATCTCTCATCAGCACCTTTCCACAGGCATAACTTAGGCAACAGGATTTTGGCCACCATTATTATTTTTTTCTGTAGAAAACAGCAATTTTGAAGGGAACTGTTTCAGAAACATTTCTGCTCCTCAGCACTGCTCATGACTCAACCCCCCCCCAAATGTAAGCACATTGGACCCCCATAATGTCTGATAGGGGTATGATGTGGGTATAATCCAGTACCTAATGATAATACATTTTGTGCAAGTACCAACTGGAGGTCTGTAGCCATCCTCCCTGCCTGGCACCTGCAGAGAGGTGCTAAACCTGGGGTTCAGCTTCTTTCATATTGTTGGCAGCATCTCCACCCTGCCCAGAAAACACCCTTTAATTGTCTGTTGGGTTTTAGACTTCTGCCTGTCATTGGCAGTTTTTGCCAACTATCAGTTCAAGTTTAAGAGTAGCCAAAACCTCAGCTTCGCCCCCTGGGCCATTTGAGGCACTGTTCTCCCTAAAGACAGCCTCATCTCAGTGGTACGTTCACTGTTAGACTCCAGGCTAGATGGTTGCAATGTATTGTAAATTGGGATTCCTCTTGAAAAGTGAAAACTACAGCTCACAATGCAGTTGCAAGACTGTGGATGAAGATCCCTCTTGTTTAAACAGCTGTGCTGACTCCCAGAATTATGAATTAATCATTCACCCTGCTCACTTCTCCCAACAAAGGGACCTAAGCCATCTTAAGAAACCTTTTAAAAAAGCATTGCAGTATTATTATTTTTAAATTATAACCGCTTGAAAGCACATTTCAAAAGATTTTTGAAAATGCAACTTCCCCATGAAAACCCTCATTTGCTTTCAGGAAGCCTACCTAGAAGGAAAGGTCTTAGAGGACAGGAACTTGGTCCCATCCCAGCTCAAGCCCTAGTGGCACTGATTCTTCGAATCTCTGGATGGTCTCAGGAGCAGGCCATCCACCCGAAGGCCTGCCTCCTCCACCTTTTTCCGAGCCTGCTCCTTCCCTGGGAACCTCAGCAGACATTCCTCCTGAGTGAGATGGTGAGGGGGAGCTGGGACTGGGCCTCCTCCACCAAAGTGGCTCGTGGCGTGGGATTCTCTCCTGAGGGAGCCTCGTCTGGCTACTGGACGCCACTGTCCTTCTGGTGCTCAAGTGAAAATTACCGTCAACGTAGTGTATGTTTGTGCGCTCCTCTCTGCCACAGTGTGTTCATTCTGTAGCTGTTTTTTTTGGGTTGACTATCTGTTGCCTCTTTGTGTCTCTATCACGACACCCCCAGGAGCCTCCCTTCCACTTTTCTTCCTTCGGCACCCTACAAGAGGTGCTTGTAGCCCAGGTGTATATGTATCTACATGGAACTCTTGCATTTGTGTAATCCTGAACCACACCATCTTTTTCCTAATTCTTGGAAGGAAAATCTGTGGGGTTCAACAGGGCTTCCTCCTACATCAGTTTGCAAGCGGTCGCCATCTTGTTTCTCTTCCCAGCTGCCACATGCACTTACCTGAGAGAACTGCATCTTGCCTTCATCTCCTGAGCTTGCTCCTTCGAGGTAGCTAACTGCACAGAGGCTGCTGTTGTGTCTCTGTCATCAAAAGACAAACTGCCTCTTTTCCAAACTAGTCATCACGATTGATTAGGCATCCTTCAGTTTCGAAAGACTATGGTAGCGTGCTCCATATGGAGGACTTGGAACAGCGTCTAGTGTGGCTGAGGAGGCCAATTCAAGAGTGACCATCCCAGAATTCAAATACAATTTGTCCCCTGTCCAGCTCCCTGATTTTGCTGCTTTCGGGACTGCCTCTTTGCCTCGGCCTGCTGGACAAGGGTCTCTTCAAATTGGGAGAGGCCATGATACACAGCCTGCCTCCAGGCTGATCGCTCAGAGGTCAAGGTTTCCCGTTGGTTGAGGTCCATTCCTAAGGCCTTCAGATCTTGCTTGCAGATATCCTTGTATCGCAGCTGTGGTCTCTGATCTTTTGGAATCCGACCTTCACAACGTGCCCAAGCCAATGTAGACATCGCTACATTGTGCCAGAGACAACACCTATGGAACGTGTTCAGCTTCCTGTCCTGCTGTGCACAAAGGGTCCAGGACTTATTGCAGTACAGGAGTGCATACAATCGTATATCACGTTTGAAGCCAGGGAGAATTCAAGTAGGAGCAAGGCATTCAGGGGCAACTCTTTTGGTGGTTATGGTTGCTTTGAAAAGAGTATGATGGGTTGGAGATGTGATTCTGTGACTAGGTATACAGGAGTAGGGCCCATGAATTCATTGGGCATATCTTCCTTTGCCCTCTGCCTCCTACCTTCCTGTCTGAGGCATGTCCCTGTTCGTGATAGAGCAAACTGTAAGGGAGGCATATCAGTGCTCTGGATCCGTTCTGTTTTTCAAAAATATTCGTAGTGGCTCTCATCCTGAATTGCAAAAGGTTCATCTTCCTAAACTTTCAGAAGTTCTCAATCTTTGGCAAGTGAGTCTGAAAGGTGATACATAGGAAGTGGTGGTGCTTAAGTGGCAAAGGTGGGGGACGGGTGTCTTCCAGATGTTGCTGCACTGCAGCTCCCATCAACACCAGCCAGTTCAGGGATGGCAAGGGATGATGGGTGTTGTAGGCTAACCATGTCTACTGGGCTATATCTTCTCCATCCTTCTTGTGTAAGGGAAGAGGAGGTGCGGCACCTCTGTCAGCCTTTGACTTTTAATGGCATCTCGTCATCTCTTCTGTACTGCTAATGGGAGTTTTTTTTTCTTCCCATGACCTCTTTTCTCAGATCCCATAATGATGAATGGTTCCAACGTGGCCAACACAACCACAGCTACAACCACCCCTGCTAAATCCAAAGAGGACCAGGTAGTGAACGGCCATGAGGAGAAGGAGAATAACCCCTTTGCAGAGTACATGTGGATGGAGAATGAGGAGGACTTCAACCGGCAGGTGAGACAGGGAGCAAGTGAACCTGCATGCTTTTTATTCCTGTAGATGTGAACAGACATGTGTGCCGTGCCATGGACAGGCTGCCTTACAAGCAGCACACTTTATAAGAGACACTCTCTGGGTGGCTTACAGGTGTGATCAAAATGTCCTCTCTTTGCTATCAGTCTCTTGGTTTTCTCTCTCTCACTTTCTCCCTCTCTCTTCCTGCCTTCCAGTCTTTGGTATAGATCTTTGCTTACCTGATTGGGGGTGGGGGGCAGTTGTCAGAATCACTCAGCCTGAGTGTGTGTGTGCCCTTGTGCAGTGCCTTGTGCATTGGAAATGTTCTTTCTAAACACAAAGTACAGTGGTGCCTCGCATAGTGATCGCTCCGTATAGCGATGAAATCGCTTTGCGATGGACTTTTTGCCATCACAAGAGCGATCGCTTTGCGATGGCCCCTTGGGGAAATTTCGCCTTGCGATGATTGCAGGGAAGCGATCATCGCAAAGCCCCCATTTTCAGCCAGCTGATCGGCAGTTCCAAAATGGCCGCCGGGTAAACAAAATGGCCACCCGCTGTTTTGCCTTGCTTTAGCGGCACCGAAAATGGCCGCCACAATGGAGGATTTTCACATATGGTTAGTTTTTAAGCCCATAGGAACGCATTAAACGCGTTTTAATGCTTTTCTATGGGCTTTTAAAAATTGCTTAGTGATGAAATTGCTTAGCAGTGATTTTTGCTGCACCGATTAACATCGCTAAGCAAGGCACCACTGTACTGTCTTTGTGGTGCAGATCTTTGGTGCCTTAGGCCTGCCGTTAGGGCTTCCTTTAGAGAACCCTTCTTTTGGCAAAGGACATGTTCACAAGGGCATGGAGGGAAGAGAGGGTGGAGGGTGGCCCAGGAAGAGAAGAGGCTTCAGTGGACAGAGGAAGGGAGATGTGGGAGCAGGTGAGCACCCAGCCCAAGCCATTTGGGGCTCCGGCCTACTCAGTCTTTCACCCCACTTCTAATTTTGCCTCCACCTTTGGAAGGACGAGTCTCTGACTCAGATGCGCTGTCAGGTCTCCAGTGGCAAGAAAAGCAGTCTCCGTCTGAATCTGTTGATTTGTTTTAAATTATTTTCAACCAACTTTTCCTGTGCTTATGGCAGAAGGCATGGACAACATTTGAGAATAGCATCATACAATAAAATAAAATCCTTGTTGGGAGAAAAAAGGGGTGTGTGTAAGAAAATCAAAACAATTGTTCACTAGCCAAGAATGTTACAAAATGAAATGGTGCTTCTTTCCAATTAGAAGAGAGAAAGGATAGGCTGTGCGTCTCCTCTGGGACGGCAGCTGAGTGCTTCAAGATGACTGTCAGAAAGGCCTTGCACCTCGCAGTCGGAGTTCTGGCTTTGGGTAACAAAGCTGTTTGGGAGAGGGCTCAACCCACTGGCCTAGAGATCTTGCGCCACCAGCTCATAGGGGAGGGACAGATTCAGAGGCCTTGGGCTACGACCAGGTAGCTGCCACAGACTTACTGCCAAACAGGCTGAACGTGCTCTGCCTCTTGGGAGGCACCACTGTCATTTATCAGCTATAGCTGTGGAGTTGTCCTCCGGGGTATCTCTGTGCAGGCCTGCCGAGGCTTAGGTGCTGTTGGGGCTCTCGGTTGTCCGACAGGTGGGAGATCCTCCACCTGAGTGTCAAACGTCTGTGTGCACCAGTTCCCAGGCTTTTATTTCAAAGCAGGATTTGCAGCTCCCTTCCCGATCCACTTGTTTCTGTTGCTGCCTACTGTCCTTGTGTCTCTCTTGCTTGCCTGTTCCAGATCCCTCCATCGCCCTTTTTCTTCCCCACACCCTCTCTTTGGAGGGCCGTAGCTGAGTACTTGAGCTTTTGCTTTCCATCCCTGTTCGTAGCTTGCTTACCTCCTCCCTGGCCTGGCTTCCTGTTTGACATCCTAGTCACAGAGAGGGGCCTCAGAGAAGCAGGAGTGTGTGTGTGTGTGTGTTTGTGTGTGAGATGGTGATGCTAGTTTGAGCTGCTAAGCTTGTCAGATTCAAGGCTGGAGTTCCCGATATATCAGGTAAACAGTTCTCAGATCGCTGAGTTCCTTACGGAACCGGCCAGTCTGGAACTGCTTCAACGCTCTGCTCCGAGCGTAGGCGGCTTGCCCTTGCTGCTTCCTTTGTTGTCCCGGGCTCCTGGCTGGCTGGCTGCCAAGCTTGCGTTGTGGCAGCAGCACATGCAGGAGGAAGACCCTGAGGCAGCAGGAGGGACCTTCCACAGGGGCGACGTGCCTGCCTTCTGTGGTCTTGCTGGCTTTGTGTGGAGGTTGGGGTGGGCTTTGAAGAAGCAAGGAGCTGGATTGCTTTCTTGTCTAGAGAAGAGAACTCCAGCTTACCTTCCTGATTTCCTGAAGTCAGTGGCATAAACACCCACAGGAAGGAGGAGGGCAAGGAGGGATCCAGTCTTCCTGTCAGAACTCTGTCTTTGGCTAAGACCCATCCTGGTTATGGTCACTGAGGCAGGAGACGGACGGTTCTTGAAAAATGGTCCTGCAGTTTATAATACCATAGGGGACAAGGCAGGAGGAGTGGTTTGTTCTTCCCCTGTTGAAATTGGGAGCCTGCTATATCCCAGTTTTTAAGAATTAAACCAAATTGGCCACTAGAAGGCACAAAGTGACTTTTTTGGCTAAAGAAAACAGTGTTTAAAAGTTATTATACCTATTTTTTAGTTTTTCAGTGAGCTAAATACGGAGGGTGCGCAGTGAGATCTGTTGCCAATGCTATAACTTGGCCTTGCATTTTTTTTTCAAACCATTTCCTGCATGGCAGGCAAAGCTGATTTTCCCCCACTTGTTGGTAGTGGGGCCCCAGTGGGGCCCTGTCCAGAGCAACACCAGTCTGCCCCCTTGGGTAAGTGAAACAGGCTTGCACTGACCATTTGGTCCATCAGCGGCTGAAGTAATTCCAAAGAAAAGGTCAAATCAAAAGAATATTATGAGTTTTTTTGGGGGGGGGAGTGGATTGAACTGCATCCCCCCACCCCGAAGCCAGAGATCCTAAAAGCAGTTGATTGTCCATTCAAGATGAAGAGGAGAAAGCTCTTGGGAGATGCTTCCCCGTTAATCTGTGGAATTTCCTGCTGCAAGACAAACTCAGAGGGATTTAAAAGAATCCAGTCAACTTGGTGGTGGTGCTTTCGAGAGCCATAAATCTGATGGGACATGTGGATCGTCTGTGTTTCGACATGCTGAGTATGGGAGGCTTGGGACAACTTGGGGAGGCAAAGCCCTTCACGAGGTGCTTCCAAGTATGGGTCCAGAAGTATGTGCTGCTGCCTGCTGTGAAGCTCAGAGGGACGCTTTTCTCAGACCCAGTGGAGAAAAACACTGGAGGAGGCCTTTCTGTTGGATGCAGTGTGTGTGTGTGTGTGTGGGGGGGAGAGACAGTTTTCTCCCTAGATGGGGAGATGTTTGTAGCTTTGCCTCGGAGACTTGCTGCTGGTCTCAGCTCAAAGGCATCACATACTTTACGATGACCCCGAGAGGTCTCCCTACTTTTTTCTGCAGATATGCTTATGCTTTCTTCGTCCTCACCCACTCATGAAGGGGGCGTCTGGCTGTCCTCCGGGAGGAAAGCAGCTTCCCTTCCCAATGTGGTCACTCTGGTGGCAACTGGCGCAAGCCCAGGACACCCCAAACCTGGGCTGGGCTGCCCTGTCCCAGTCCTCTTTCTGGGAGCAGCTGCTCCTCTGCCTCTTCCCGTGACAGCAGACATGATGGGAGGGGAGAGGCACAACCCAAGACAGGCTGGATCCAAGCAAGGAAGAGGAGGAACCTCTTAGATTTAGGAAACGTTTTGAGAAATAACTCATGCCAGCTTGAGAAGGGCCCTGTCCTCTCCAGACACCGTGTCCAAGCCAGCCTTCCGTTGTTTGGAAGGCAGAACAAAAGCTCCCCCTTGCTGGCAAAAAGGTATTTGCACAAACCCGGAAAGGCCAAGCAGCAAGCGGTGCGAGCGAGCGAGTGGACACTGGGCGTGCCCTGCAACAACAGTGAAACCACAAGAGACAGAAACGAACATAAATACCACCCCTAAGGGTTCCTTAATTCTCCCCTTGTTGTATTGGGTTTGCCATACAGTTCTTTAGCAGCTTGTGGCCTGAGTCCCAGAGACGGCTCCCAAACATTCGCTGACCCAGAACATGTCATCATTTAAGCCTTACGTTTTCTTTGGTGGGATTGGCCATGATTCTATTTCAGCTAAACTGGAGATCTGGCTGTGGCATGAGCCACTTGGGCATGTCTGTTGCCATGCTGTTTGTGTGTGCCCTGGCCGACCCCCTTAATCGCTTTCTTTGTTGCCCACACTTTGGGGGCAGATCAGCATGATAAATGGAGATTGGCTGTCCCCATAAACTGGAACTCAGGGTCTCTGTGGTCATTTCCCCACCACCACCACCACCGTCATTATATAGATAAATGGGGGTGGGGGAATAGAGTCAGTGTGCACAGTCCTGCAGTCTTCGTGCAGTGAAGAGGAATGACAGGGGGGGGGCAGAATTTCTGACTCCTTGGGGCTGTTCTTCTTGGCTAGGTGGAGGAAGAGCTTCAGGAGCAGGAATTCCTTGACCGCTGCTTCCAGGAGATGCTGGACGAAGAGGACCAGGAGTGGTTCATTCCGTCCCGCGACCTGCCCCAGGGCATCGGGCAGTTGCAGCAGCAGCTGAACGGGCTCTCGGTCAACGACAGCACCCACGGCCACGTTTCAGAAGACATTTTGGTGAGCAAAGAAGTGCTAACAGGAGGGGGGGGAGATACCAGCCTGGGCAGGGAGGAAAAGGTGGCAGAGCTGCTCTGCGGCCCCACCAGCAGCAGCAGCAGCTGTCTGTGTTCGCTGTGGATGATGAGAGTTGTAGTCCAATGTGCCTGAGGTGTAGGAGGTTCTTGGAGCAGGCGATTCAGCTGTGCTTTCGACATCTATTTTGTGTCAGTGTGATAGAGCCCACTGCATTCACTGATCTCACCGTGGTTTTTAACATCAGAAGACACGGGGTGTTGAGAGCAAGAAGGCGGGGGTGTCTCGTGTGGGGAGACACCCCTGGAATGAGGCGGGTGGGTGGAGACCATCTTGGCAAGGGGTCTGTCCCTGCCAGCTGCTGATCTCTTTCTCCTTTCTCCCTTCCAGAGCAAAAGCACCTTAAACCCCGACGCCAAGGAGTTTATCCCTGGAGTGAAGTACTGAACCTTCAGACACCCTTCACAGAGACATTTTTTTTGCCCTGGATTGGGTGGGCTGGGGCGGGTGATCCACAAGCAGGGGAGGGACAGAGACCCTCTGTGGGCAGAGCACTGGGGCATCTTCCGCTACTCGACCCATCTCGCTTTTTGCTGCATCAGGACATTCTGAAACAAACTGAGGAGGACTCGGAGCCCTTGTAGGACAGGTGACGGATTGGGAGGGTGTGCCTTTTTGTTGGCTTTTCTCTTGGTGTCAAAACAGCGACAAACGTCCTCCGCCTCCTCCCGGCTGGGTCTTCCCCCACCACCGCTCTGCTCGTTGGGCAGCCCCCCTTCCCTGAGCGTGCTTTGGATACTGGGTGGGTGCTGCTGCAGGGCAGGCAAGGCAGTCCGGATGGCTCTTCTTGGTGGAGGTTTCCCAGCCTGCCCCAGCAGCCACACGCTTCAGCTTCTCCTCCTGGATTTGGAGCAGCCCCTTCCTCTGCTTCCCCCCCCTTGCCGCCACCCCCCCCCAGGCTGCTTTGTGCTCCCAGCTGGTGAGGCTGTCATCCCCTGGGCCACCAGCTTCAAACCGAGCTGTACCCACCACTAAACCTCTTGCGGTTGCGGGACCCTTGGCGACACAGATGGTTTTACGGAGCCTGCTTGAATTCTCTCCCCTCTGGTTGCAAGTTCATGGATGCCTCCTGCTGGTGGCGCAGGACTAGTGTCCCCAGATATTCTAGGGTTCTTGGTCTGCGGGGTGGGGGCAAGGTGATCCTGAACACAGAACCCCACGGAAATATTTTTCTGTCCATCTCCCTTTTCTCCCTTCGCTTCCTACCTCCACCCTCCTTTAACTAAGACATAATAACTGGGAAAGGCAGAGTTCACTTCTCCACCTGGCCACTGCCTGATCCATACAAATGAGCTTAACTCGAGAAATACAGTATAGGGCAGGGGCCCATTCCTGGGCTTTCATCATCATCACCAGCTCCTACAAGCTACCGTTGGGGAATTCTGGGAGACCAGGGACACACATTCCTGCTGCTCTGGGGATTGTTTGTGCTTGGCCAACAGGATGGCTTTTCCTGCACTCCCGATGCAAAGTAATTTGGAAGGAGAACCAAAACTTGAGAGAGGTGTCTTGGCCCCATGAGCAGGCATGGGCGCCATTTCCCCACACCTCTGCAGAGAGGCTCCAGCAGCATTCAGGAGTGCAAATGAAATTCCCCTGACCCTGACTGTGTTTCTAAACTTTAGAACTGGATTCCACTTTTGCTCCTTTCAGGGGAAAGGAAACTTTGACTTAGGCTGTGCAGGCTGTAGTTGGCCAGTTCTCTTAGGAATTTTTTTGGGGGGGCAAGGGAGCAAATGGGGGAGTTGCTGTTGTAGCTCAAATTTTGTTCAGGAAGCAAAAAAACTTTACATGTGGACCCTTTCCCCCACGTTTTACTCCCTGGCTTTATCAATATGGTGTAATATTTGAAATTGCTAAGGTAACTTGTTACATCATGACAGATCCCCTAATAGTTGGAGGTGTGCTGTCTTCAGCTGAAAAGACCAAGTGGTAGTTAGAGAAAACTGGCTCCCCATCAGAGCTGCGGGCGCCTTTCTTTAGCCAAAAGTATCCTTTTGCCATCCTCCACCACCTGCCCTCAAGGCTTGTGCCAGAGAGAAGGCAGTGTGAGCGTAGCCTTTGTTAACAGCCATGGTTCTTCCTTGTAGCCTCTAGGATTCTTGTTCTTGCACCACCATTCCCTTCCCCCCCCCCTTGTTCCCTATCCTTGTCTTCTTAAAAATGTGGTCCCTGCTCACCGTAAAGCACCTTTTGCCCAGCAAACACTGACTCCCTGCTCTTTTTCTGCATTAAGAATGCAACAGAGCCACAGCCTTGGAAGGGATGCCCGTGCAGGCAAAGCTCTTCCAAGGAAGGGTGGAACGGTACTTGGCCACAAAAGCTACCTGTGCACCGGGACTCTTCTTCCCCATCCCTGGGCCAGCCAGAACATCTGGCCTTTAGCTGATCTGTGGGCAGCAGCCAACCGAGGTCCCATATAGATGCTTGTCCCACAAAACAGGAAGAGGGAATGAGCATCCTCTCGCAGGCTGTGCACTGTCTCCCTCCACCCCAGTCAAAGCTCCTGGGCAGGGACCGAGCTCTCCTCTAGCTTCTGGACACTAGCTGCCCGTTTTCCATTTTTTTGGCAGGGTGGGGAGAGAAAGCTGCCAGAATACGGAGCTGCTGTTTCCCTTTTTGCCTGGGGTCTCGAAAAAGGGGGCCTCTGCAGTCCAGGCTTGTCTCCCCTCTCCTCAGGACAACCTGCGGCACATCTCCCAAGCTGGTCCCCCCCCCCGAGGATTTGGAATATAATTCCCACCATTTCTGACTGTCCTGCCTGAGGGGGGGGGGGAATGAGAGCTATGGTCTAAAGCCAGTAGAGCATACTCTGTCGGGATATATAGATGTTATAATATCTGTGGGGCAGGTAGAGGGAGGGTGAGTGGCAAACTGCTTCTGGTACCTTCTGTTTGTCCCTTCCTGCCCTCCTTTTCTTTCCCACGCTGCAGGCCCTGTCTAGGGGAGGGAGGAAGTATTTACAATGATGTGCTGTCCATTTTTACAACACCTACTTAAAAATAAATTGGTTTTGAGCTGGGTGTGGTTGCCGAGGGCCTTCCTGGAAGCTACCAACCACATTGCTGGTATTCTCTGGGCTGCTGCAAACTAAAGGGCCCTGCCTTAGGTCAGGTTTTCCGTCTGGTGCCATCTCCTGAAAGGGAGAATCGGCTTCTGAAGACCAGCTCCTCCGCCTGAGATACTGTGGAAAACAGTAAGTTTGAAGCACAAGGTGGAAGGTTCCATAAATGAAGAGGATTTCTTTCGCCACAAAGAACACCCCTGTGAACCTGCTGGCAAACTAGTACACACCCTAACCCAACCACTTCTTCAGACAGGAGAGCGGTTTGTTAAGCACCTCTTTCTCTTCGGCATCATCCCTTTATGGGCTCCTACAAAGCATCTAACCTCTGGGCGGACGGGCAGGCTTCCTGCAGCTCGCTCAGGACTGCCACGCTTTCACAGCTGTAAAAGCAAATGGCGGGCAACTTACAAAGAAGCACTTGCCGACGGTGGCGATGCCCTCTGTGTGGTCTTGCTTTTTTATTAATGAAGGGTAAGAAGTATGCCCATACAAAAAGTCCAACATGGTTCTTTTCAAGACAGAGAAGACAACCTGAATGTAAAAAAGTTGCAAGGGATGACGTGGAGAATGGGCGGGTGGCCGCTCACAGGCTCTGCCCCCGTTTCTTAAGCGAAGGAGTGTGTGTAGAAGACGTCCACATTGGCGGTGTAATCGAGGGGCACGTCTTGGCCAATGTGCCTGGCGCCCAGGCTGGCCCCTCCCAGGGCCGAGGACTGTTTCAGCTTCAGGAGGCTGAACCTGGAAAAGGCGCTGCCGGGGTGCTCGTTGCGGGCTTGGTCAAGGACCTGGACGAACCCTGAAGGAGAAGAGTGCCGGTAGCTCCTTCGGAGTAGCGCAGCGCACCCTTGTGTGAGGCTCGCCTTCCCGTGGGCTCTCTGTCTCGGGTGAACCGTATCACTCACCTGAGGTTTTGACCAGGAGGCAGCTACTTTGCTGACCAACCTCCTCTAGGTAGATCTTTCTGCCTAGCAGACTAAAAGCTGGGCCAAAACGGCTTGTCATTGTTTGCCTTTGTAGCCGCTCTCCAGCAAGCAAAGGGGGCAGAGCAGCTTATCCTGTTTCTCTGGATTTTCTCCTTCTCTGGCTAGTGAGAGCGATGCAGAGAGGAAAGCTCTCCCTCCCTGCCAAGAAGATGTGATGGAGCATCTGTCTTCTTCCACTTGCTCCTTAAAAGCATGCTGTGGAGCCCCTCTGCCTGCCCACTTCTGTACAGCATTTGAGTCTCAAGCCTCCTAGGGCTCTCTCTCTCTTCCTAGCCCAAACGGCAGATCACTGGACAAACGCAGATCTGCTGCCCTTGGATGCGCACGCGCGTGCGCACACACACACACGTTCCACCTGCTCACCTTCTTTCATCATTTCCCAGCTGTTCCACACGGATCCAACGCACACAATGGGCAATCCCAGGTCACCTTGGAAGAGGCTCTGAGAAGACGTAAACGGGACAGTCACCTCACCGGATCTGCCCCCTCTGCGAGACACCCACCCCTTCTTCCCTCCAGCAAATGCAAGATGTGTCCTTTCCAGGGGCACTCAAGCAAAGCAGCCTTCAGGGACGAAAAAACAAAACAAAACCTGGGGCTTTGGGGCATCTTTCTGCCTAGCAGACTAAAAGCTGGGCCAAAACGGCTTGTCATTGTTTGCCTTTGTAGCCGCTCTCCAGCAAGCGAAGGGGGCAGAGCAGCTTATCCTGTTTCTCTGGATTTTCTCCTTCTCTGGCTAGTGAGAGCGATGCAGAGAGGAAAGCTCTCCCTCCCTGCCAAGAAGATGTGATGGAGCATCTGTCTTCTTCCACTTGCTCCTTAAAAGCATGCTGTGGAGCCCCTCTGCCTGCCCACTTCTGTACAGCATTTGAGTCTCAAGCCTCCTAGGGCTCTCTCTCTCTTCCTAGCCCAAACGGCAGATCACTGGACAAACGCAGATCTGCCGCCCTTGGATGCGCGCACACGCACACACACACACACACGTTCCACCTGCTCACCTTCTTTCATCATTTCCCAGCTGTTCCACACGGATCCAACGCACACAATGGGCAATCCCAGGTCACCTTGGAAGAGGCTCTGAGAAGACGTAAACAGGACAGTCACCTCACCGGATCTGCCCCCTCCACGAGACACCCACCCCTTTCTTCTTCTTCTTCCCTCCAGCAAATGCAAGATGTGTCCTTTCCAGGGGCACTCAAGCAAAGCAGCCTTCAAAGACAAGGAAAAACAAAACCTGGGGCTTTGGGGCACACACACAGCCAGGCACCTTTGGGGCCAGAGACCGGGAGAGGAGGGAGAAACTCGGGCACATTGCCCAAGTTGGCAGAAGGGCGCCCCCCCAGCGCAGCCTCTGGCAAAGCAGCCTCTTTACAGAGGTGGGCATTCTGGGTTGAGATCACGTGTGGCTGCCAGACATTCCCGGAGTAGATTTCCAGGTGGGATTTCCATGGAAGGGGTCACCTTCTCTCATTCCCTCCACAAATCCAGAGGAAATGAGTCCCTGGCCAGCAGAAAAGTACCACTTGTCAGTGGCAACACAGAGGCTGGATTTGGCCCCGTGCAGGAGAAACCTGGCGCTCTATCCCAACCCACGTCTTTCCAAGGGAGAAACAGCAAGGCCTTTTCAGGGTCCTCCCCCCTGTCCCCATTATAAACTCCTGCCTGGCTGAAATGGTGCCCAAAGTTAATTTGGAGTGGGTGTGCGCAGAGCAACATTTCCCCGCCCCCAGGGTTCTGGGTCTACCGCCTGCGCCGGCCTTGTGTCCCAGCCCCTCCCACTGAGCCGATCTCCTTTCCGCGTCACAGGACTAGGGATACAAAGGCACCTGGTCAATTTTGGGCAGCACAGCGACAATGTGCCGGGCCAGGACCTCTCCAGCTTTCTTGAAGATGTAGCAGCACAGGGGGTCTCCCAGCTCAGCCCCTGCAAGGAGAAAGAGGGAAGGGGGTTTCCTTTCTGTCTCCTCCGGTGGCCTCTTCTGTCCTGCCAGGGTTCTCGGGACCTCAACAGGACCACCAAGGTGGCACAGCCTGACACCCCTTCCCCCTTTTTCCCCCGTCTTGTCCTGTGACTGGTCCCTAACCCGGCCACAATACAGATTTAAGCCCTGACCTCCCCAATCCCAGTTCAGCACTTGGCATGGGCTGGCTGGTTTTGAGGAATCCCCGATTGGCAACCCTGTTAGACGTCCGCACGTGGCACATGGGCTTGTTATCGTCCGCCTGGCATCGAAGCCATGCGCTTAAGGGCAGCTACTGCTGAAGGTCCACTAATGCTTGTTCTGAGCCCTCCAGACGCAGGCTAAGTCAGGGGAAGAGGGATGGGAGACATCCCCTTAGATTTCCGCCCCCCCCTTTACAATGCCTTCAACACAGTTATTATTATGGACGGCTGGGGGCAATTTAAATGGCAGCCCCCAAAAACACTGCTGTCAAGTGAAGTCATCAGGAGGTTCCCCTCCATCTCTTCATGGGGCCTAAAAAAAAACAAAAAACCAGTTGGAGCAACGGTTTTAGAAAAACGTGACCGGCGCCCTTTGCAGACCACACGGTGGTGGTGTTGCCACACCGGCAGAGCACAGCCCTGGCTTTGCTTGGACGCACTCTGCCTCTGGAAAATCAGTCTCCTCTCAGGAAGAGCTAGCGTTTGTGCACCTGTGGCCACAAGGAGGTGCGGGACCGAATCCTTTTCACACTGGTGGAGCTGAACCTCTTCAGCAGCACTCTTGGGCAAGCCACGTAATGGAAAGTGGAGGCTCTGGCAGCCGCGAGAACAGCCCGTGGCCTATCCTGGCATCAGGGAAGCCAGTCTGGAGCCCCCTAGGTCCTTGCCCGCACCCTGCCGGGGGTCATCTTGGCTCTTGTAGGCTGGAGCCGTGGCTGACGGAACAGCAGAATACTCATGCAGAGTATTATGGGATGCCTCCTCCTACAATACCCCCAAAGGCTCCAACCCACACTGACACCACAAACTGAGCCACAAACAGGAAGGAGTTTATTCTTGAAGGCTTTCATGGCCTGGATCCAATGGTTGTTGTACGTTTTTCAGGCTGTTAGGCTGTGTTTTGGAGGTTTTTCTTCCTAACGTGGTATTACTGAGTATTTGTAGCTCTAGGATCAGGTTTTTGTTCTTTTCAGGAGATTGGGTGATTATGGTGATCAGGGTGTTTTTTTGTTATGGGTGTATTGTTGTGATAAGGGGGGAGATGATCTGTCACTGTGGTTGATGGGTGTCGTTAGCTAGTCTTTTGTGTGCAGTGATTAGCTGAACATGCCCTGAAGCAAGCTAGACATGAAATCCTATTTCAAAACACAGAAGTACTGGACAACACCAGCAATCATTATGTTAGACCACACAGAGAAGCCATTGAAATCCACGAGCACCAACAGAACTTCAGTGAAAAAGAAGAAAGTCTAAAACTCAACAAAGCCTGGCTCCCAGCACTGAAAAATACAGCCTGAAAAGGTCAACGAACTCTACCCAGCCACAAGGAACGGGGATCATTGCACACAAAAGACCAACTAATGACACCCATCAATCACAGCGATAGACCATCTCCTCCCTTAACACAAGAATATACCCATAATAAAAGACACCCTGATCACCGTAATCACCCAATCTCCTGAAAAGGAGAAAAAGCTGATCCCACAGCTACAAATACTCAACTATTCCACACACTGCACCAGAATACATATAGAGTTCTAACTCCTGTTCTCTGAAGATGCCGGCCAGAGAGACTAGCGAAAAGTTAGGAAGAAAAATCTTCAGAACACGGCCAAAGAGCCAGAAAAACCTACAACAACCACAGGAAGGAGTTTCATTGCCATCTTTTGCCTGCACAAGGTTCTGTGGGAAGGCTAAGAAAACCAGGCCAGTGCATTTTTGAAGTGGAATAGAAACTCACAAGCCTCAACCGCATCATGGTCCCCGTTTTACTTGCGGACCAACAAAGCAGTGAGAAGCATCTCCTTTCTCCCGAAACCCCAGCACCCTAGGCTGCATTAGCCCTGACTTCCCAGGGTAGCTTCTTCTGCTTTCACTTCCAGTTGTTTCGAAATGACTTTAATAGACCATGCATGGTGGAAACACCTGCTTTCCAGAGGGCTGTGTGTTGCCGTTTTGTCTCTTTCTGCCAGAAACTGACAGGATGACAAAACAGAACAGCTGCCTGCCCCATTCCCACACTCAAAGAGGGGAATTAGCCAGAAAGACCAGTGGTGGTGCCTCAACAGTCTGAAGAGTGCTTTCCAGCAACCCAAGGGCCACCGACTTGCAATTGGGACCTTGCTCTCTAGACCCCGTCCTAAAAGCCGGTGCACAGCAACCAAAGAATGCACTGTGGGCAAGCCATCCCGGTTGCGAGACTGGCCCCAAGCTCCACTGGGCCCTTCAAAAACCCAATACTTTTCACAAAAGCCCTTGTCCGTCCTGAGCTTACCTTCAGCCAGCTTCTGGCAAAAGCCTGCGAACTTGGACTTCTCAAAGGTCCTGTAGAGATGAGTCAGAAGGCCCATCCTGTCAGAGACCTGCAGAGATGGGGAACACCAAAATCCTGTGGGGCAGGTGTAGGTTTTTCATCCAGAAGAAGGGGCTGAGGTCAGCCAGTATCAGACACAGACATCTAGGCTGCTTCTACCCGCTCAGACACACAGCTTATCCCTGAATCCCCAACGGATCTGCCATTTCATCAGGGCAGGCATTTCTTCCACCAGGAGAGAGACTGCAACGCTTCCCCGCCTGGAGGAGCTATGGCACACCCGTCTCTTCTTCCTTTCAATGGGGGCTGGCACATGAGACCTTCCCAGGCCCCTCCCTTTCCAGCCAGCACTAGATCTCTCTTCCATTGCTCCAAAATGATCGTTCGCCCCACGGCATTCAACAGGAAAAGAGACACGCAACCCAGCGGGACAACGGTAGTAGACTTGGTGGGGACAGGCGAGCCACGTACCTGGAAGTAATCAAACATGGCTTGTTTGATGTAGCTGATGTCATGAGGGGGAACCTCGAGGTTGTCCAAGCCATCAAACACAATCTTCACTGCCTGGTGAGCGATCCAGTAAGCTGGGGAGACAGCAACGGAAGGGGGTTAAAGCAAGCAATTGTCTCCAGCTCTGGCTCAGATGCTGGAGGCCTGAGAGAACACCACCACCACCACCACCACTCCTGGAAGACATGCGTAGGTTTTTTGGACAGCAGCTCCTCCCAGGTCATGACCCTTGCCTTCCTATCCAGTCCAGGGCTCTCCAGGGACTTTTTTTCCTCCCCACCTGGTACCTGGGAAGGGCAGGGATGAACCTGGCTGCTTTTGCCCACAGAGCCGGTGTTCTGCCCCCACTGCTACAGTTCCACAAAGACACTCCTGCAAGTGGGGTGGCAGCTCGGGTCTCCTGCACTGCCTTGGAATGTGCCATGCAGGAAATGATGCCAACATGGACAAAACAGCCAAGGGAGGAGAGTCAGGCTTGCCTCTTGCTGTCCAGGGGGAAGTCCCCCCAAAAGCGCCTTGCTCTTCAAGCCTTTGCTGTCTTGCATCAGCACAAGGAGTGGTGCGTCTGCATCAAAACTGCTTTTGCATGTAACTCGGGCTGGGATTTTTAGCATGTATACATTACTGAAACAGTGACATCTATGCCAGCTTGGGCATGTTGTGAGAATGGCTGACGGTCAGATTCCAAAAGATGTCCTGGTTGGAGAATGAGTGCAGGGAAATCGCCCCAGAGGGAGACCACAGCTGCGATACAGGCGAGCCACGTACCTGGAAGTAATCAAACATGGCTTGTTTGATGTAGCTGATGTCATGAGGGGGAACCTCGAGGTTGTCCAAGCCATCAAACACAATCTTCACTGCCTGGTGAGCGATCCAGTAAGCTGGGGAGACAGCAACGGAAGGGGGTTAAAGCAAGCAATTGTCTCCAGCTCTGGCTCAGATGCTGGAGGCCTGAGAGAACACCACCACCACCACCACCACTCCTGGAAGACATGCGTAGGGTTTTTGGACAGCAGCTCCTCCCAGGTCATGACCCTTGCCTTCCTATCCAGTCCAGGGCTCTCCAGGGACTTTTTTTCCTCCCCACCTGGTACCTGGGAAGGGCAGGGATGAACCTGGCTGCTTTTGGCCACAGAGCCAGTGTTCTGCCCCCATTGCTACAGTTGGTCCCGTTATTCTCCCATTATTATGGCCCCTAATCCCAGTGGCCTTGGCAAGAACCTTCGCTGCCTTTGGTCCCGTTATTCTCCCATTGTTGTCAGCTCTGTCTGACAGCTGTGGATCCCAGGGCTTTAGGAAAGATTCTTTCCCAGTCCTGCTTGGGAATCCTTGGGATTCTCTGGTGGTCTCCCATCCCTCAACAGGAGCCTCGCTAAGCTTCTGAAAGCAGTGAAAATAATCCCAGTGGCCTTGGCAAGAACCTTCGCTGCCTTTGGTCCCGTTATTCTCCCATTGTTGTCAGCTCTGTCTGACAGCTGTGGATCCCAGGGCTTTAGGAAAGATTCTTTCCCAGTCCTGCTTGGGAATCCTTGGGATTCTCTGGTGGTCTCCCATCCCTCAACAGGAGCCTCGCTAAGCTTCTGAAAGCAGTGAAAATGGATGTAGGGAACAAGTGGGGCACCCCAGGGCTCAGTCCTTGACCCAGGGCTCTTCAACATTTTTATTAATGGCCTGGATTGGGGGGGGGGCAGAAAATGCTAATTAAATTTGTGGAAGACACAAAATGGGCTGGAAGAGCTAATACAAGACAGAAAGAAAGTTCAAAATGATCTGGATAGCCCTGAGCACTGGACTGAAAACAACAGAATGAAATTCAACAGAGATAAGTGCAAAGTCCTGCACCTCGGAAAAAGAAAGCAAACCGTTACAAGATCGGGGATACTTGGCTCAGCGATACTATGAGTAAGAAGGATCTTGGAACTGCTGTAGATCACCAGCTGAATAGGAGCCAACAGTGTGATGTAGCTACAAAAAAGGTAAATGCTATATTAGGCTGCATTAATAGAAGTTCCAAATCCGGTGAGATACTAGTTCTTTATTCACTACTCTATCCGGCGCTGATTAGGTCCCATCTTGAGTACTTTGTCCAGTTCTGGACAACACACTTCAAGAATGATGCTAACAAACGAGCAAGTTCAGAGGAGGGCAACCAGGATGATGATCAGGGGGGACTGGAAACCAAGCCTTGTGAGGAAAGGCTGAAAGAACTGGGCCTGTTTAGCCTAGAGAAAAGAAGGCTGAGGGGTGATAGGATAACACTTTTCAAATATTTGAAAGGCTGTCCTACAGAAGAGGGGCAAGATCTGTTCTCAGTCATCCCAGGGTGCAGGGCACGCAACAATGGGCTCCAGTTTAAGGGATCCAACTTTCAGTTGAGTATCAGGAAAAACTTCCTAACTGTTAGAGCGGTGTTGCAATGGAACCCATGACCTCAGAGGGAGTTGGTGAATGCTCCATCCCTGGAGGCCTTCAAGAGAAAAACAGGACCACCCTCTGTCCGATCTGCTTTGATTTGGGTTCCTGCCTTGAGCAGGAGGGTTGGACTTGGGGGCCTTAGAGGGCCCCCTTCCGACTTCATGGCTCTATCATTCTAAGATCAGGTGTGCTTCGGCTGTTATGGTGGAAAAACCTCCAGAAGGAGGTGGTACTAACTGTGGTACTCCACTGTCCATTGTGGTACTAATGCAGAATGTACATGACACAGAAGTGACTCCTTCCTTGGAATCGTTCTCTGGCCCTTGTGTCCTTTGATGTACCTGCACGGCCTTCACCACTCCCACCTCTCGGTGTTCAGCAGGTTGACGATCTCCTCTCCGGAGACTGCAACACACTGATGAGGCCCCCCTAGCATCATCCTGTGGCAGAACAAGGACTCAATGCCCCTATACTATCTTTGGTTTGGATTTCCTTGATGCTGGGGGTGGGGGAGATACAGGGGGCACTGTTTATGGCCCAGGAACCAAGGACAGAAGATCCAGGGTCTCTGGGGCTCAGTGCCCATCAGCGAAGGTCCAGCGGGCCCAGGACCCAGGACAGAACAGGCAAAGCCGAGGCCAAGAGGGCAGGACTAGGAGCAGTTCTTACCCATCTGGACTTCTCCCCACCTGGCACCCAAAGCCCAGCTCAAGTCTGCAGATCCACAAGGAAACCTAAGTGCCACAGGTTCCGGGCCAGGGAATCCTGACCTCTCGTCTCCTTACCTGAGCCCTCGTCCCCCATCATGTGGCCCCATCCTCCACAGCTGATCTGAGAGCCGTCCGGGTTGATCAGCTTGCAGTTGGAGCCCGTTCCAGAGATGAGCACCACTCCACCTGGAAGGGGAAGGACACCCATGAACCTCCTGTCGAGACTTAAGCCTGCGAAGGTGTGTGTATAAATAAACAAACAAACAAATAAATAAATAAATAAAGCCTGCGAAGGTGTGTGCGTGCGTGCGTGCGTGTTTATCGGCAGCCAAACACGTCCCACCATCGTTGGCCTCCACCGAGCACCTCCGCCTCCTCTGAAAGGTGGCCCAAGAGGGGTGCAGACCCTCAACTGCCCTAGACTTTGGGCTCTTGAGCGCGCCCTCCCTACAGAAGTGTCGAGAGCACCCAAAGAAGCAGCTGGGAAGGGAAGGAAGGGATCCCCCCTTGCCCCCCCTTTTGTCTTTTTCGGCCCAGAGGCCGGGAGCACGGCTGGAGGGCTTGTGGGCGAGCCAATATCCACACGGGCTGGTTCCCCTTCTCCCGTCCGCTTCCTTTTGGCTGGGAGTTCTGCCTTGGCAAACCTCAAGCAAGGAAGGGCACCCGCCCCAAAGCCCCTGATCTTTCGCCAGCCCCCCCTTCAGACCCAAACCATGCCCCAAGGGAAATACACACCTCCGGGCTTTCTCAACCAAAGGCCAGATTTTGGGGAGAGGGGGCAGGAAGGTAGAAGCGTGCTCTTTCCACGCACACGTAAGGAGATCGTATAGATTCATTTTAGGTCACAGCTAAGAGGGCCCACGCAGGCCTCCACATGGGGCTAGACTTCAGGTCCATTTCCCTCACAACTGGCTTTGCCCGCAAGGAGAGAGAGGAGAGAGACCGTTCAGGTTCCTCAGCATCCAGAGGGCCACCCCTTCCTTAGCTCTTGGCGGAGAAAAGTTCATGTGAGAATCCCTCAGTTGTTAGCAAGGGGGATGGGTTCAAGGAAGAACACTGCTTAACCTGAGCTGCTGGGCAGGCTAGAAGTGAGAGGCCTAGCAGCTCAGGTTCGGCAAAGCCATCCTTTCCTGACTTGCTAACAAATGGAAGTCATTCTAAAGTTTACAGAAGAAACGTGCGCGGGGCTTTCCCTAAGAAAGAATAAAAGAAACTGAAGAAAAACAAAGACGGAAGATCAACCTTAAAACCGGGAGAGTTGGCAGCTCTGGTACCAACACAGGAGGGGGATCTTCGCCACCACCCAGCGGGTGCTCTTACCATGGTTGGTGGCCGTGGCCATGGCGCCGATGGCATCGGTCGTGATGTAGTAATTCTCGCTCAGGTGGGGGAAGCGGGTCTTCATCTCCTCGATGAGCTTCTTGATGGCCTCCTTCTGCTCTCCTCCACTCAGAGAGAGACCCTGCGGACGCACAGATCCACCCTCAGCCTCCCCTGCAGGCGCAGACTCAACCTGCCCAGGTTGCCCAAGGCCAACGTCCCAGCACCCCTTTGCCACCCGCTGGGCTGGCTAGGACAGGGGGGGAGTTGTAGTCCAACCGCCTTAGAGCGTCACGCATTCTCCGGCCTTGCATGGAACCCCCATTCATGGAACACGCAGAAGTTAGGACCCCAGAGAAAGGGCCGTTTCAGCCTCTCTGCAAAAAATCTCAGAGTGGTCCTGGCAGCATCTCCACCCCTAGCACCTGCCACACCTGCTCCACTTGGATCTCCTCCTCTCTGCTGCCGTCTCCACCAGCCTGCCACGGACGCTCTGAGCACAAGAAGCATCCTCTTCCAGCGGCTGTCTCTCAGGTAGAGCCTCCGCACACCTTGCACTTCAGTGCCCCAGAATCCCTGGTGCTGCCTCTGCCGGCCGGGGCTTCTCGGCCTCCAAGTGCAAAACACTGGGAAGAGCTGACAACCCCCCCCACACACACACACACACTGCGCCGTGGTTTACCCTCCACCAAGCCTTCCTGGAACAAACTCAGCCCTTCCTTTTTTATATTGCTGGGCCCTGCGGGGAGATGGACGGATCATGCCAGAAAAATGCTTTGGGGCGTCTGCCCTGATGGCGGTCACGGAAGAGCCACTAAAGGCTTCTGAGAAAGTTCAGATTCCCCGGGATGAAGGAGGAGAGCCTCCGAACTGTGATGCCGTTCCCAACCAACCCTTCGCTCGGAGGTTCGGCTGCTCCCCCGCCTCCAGGTGGTCTTCTCCAAAGGGCCAGGTCTGGCTCCCAAGCCTCCGAGGAGTTCAAGCCTGGCCTGGAGGCTTCCTGGGGAAGGGGGGGGGCACAAGAGGATTGGGGGGGCAAAGAGATACTCACCAGAGAGCGAAGAGGAACCTGCAGGTTGGCTCCGGCCTTCCCTTTGGCTTCATTAACCATGGCATTGATCCTTTCCAGGCACCTGTCTGAGCCAACCAGCTGCTCGCCAAAAGGGGGAAACAAACAGTGTCCATCATTTACTCTTACAGGCCAGCTTTCAACACACACAAAAACTATTCCAGACACAGTTCTGTCCTCTTCTCCAAATTCTTCTTACAGAGGGCGTAGGCCCCGTGGTGCCCCACCTGGGGTCCCTAGAGGTTTTTGGACGGCAACGCCCATCAAGAAATCCTGGCCAGCCCAGCGAGGGGTGAAGCCTTCCAGGAGCAGTCGTCCAAGAGCACCTTGTGGGGAAGGTGCAAATGAGCTTGTCGCTCCTGCTCAAATATACACACACTTAAAGCAAAGTATGTCTGTCCTGCAGTGAGTCCTGGACCCTTTGTGCACAGCAGGAGAGGAAGCTGAACACCTTCCAGATGTGTTGTCTCCGACGCATTTTTGGTATCACCTGGCAGGACAAAGTTCCAAATAGAGCAGTCCTAGAACAAGGTGGAATTTTTAGCATGTATATATTACTGAAATAGCGACGTCTACGTTGGCACGGGCAAGTTGTGAGAATGGCTGATGGTCAGATTCCAAAGGATCTCCTGTATGGAGAATTAGTGGAGGGAAATCTCCCCAGAGGGAGACCACAGCTGCGATACAAGGAGATCTGCAAGCGGGATCTGAAAGCCTTAGGAATAGACCTCAACAGATGGGAAACCTTGCCCTCTGAGCGTTCAGCCTGGAGGCAGGCGGTGCATCGTGGCCTCTCCCAATTTGAAGAGACCCTTGTCCAGCAGGCCGAGGCAAAGAGGCAGTCCCAACAGCAACAAAATCAGAGAGCTAGACGGGGTACAGATTGTATTTGTCTTCATTGTGGAAAGGATTGTCACTCTCGAATTGGTCTTCTCAGCCACACAAGACACTGTTCCAAGTCCTCCAGACAGAGGACGCTACCTTAGTCTCTTGAGACTGAAAGACGCCTAATATAAAAAAAGTAAAGCAAGCTTTGGGCTCCTTCGAGGCATGGCCATTCTTGCAGATCGCTTTCTTCCTAGTCGTCTCTGGCAACCCCGCCGAGGATTGATTTCTCAGCCGTTTATTTCCATTTGTCACCTGGCACCTTCTCTAGGGGATGTACAGGGAGCCCCTGTCAAAATACAGTAAGCAGATGGATCAAGGCGGTGCGGAGCAGCTGTGGTCCTCCAGAGGCTGCTGGACTTCCACATCCAAGTTCCTCTGCGCTGACTCTGCTTGCTAGGGCTCATGGGATTTGTAGTCCAACTGTATATGGAGGCTGCACGTCAGGGCACTCCAAACCAAAGGAGTCCAGTTTGTGAAACTGCCTCTCTCCCTGCAATCCTCCTCCTCCTCTGGAGTCAAGTCAAGCCTTACATACAGAGACCCTTTGCAGATAAGAGAAGACTCAGAAGTAGTTTCCCCTTCCGTTCTTCTGGGGAATGCCCTGGGATCACCATGCAGCTGGCCCAAGGCCACCCGGGCTGGCTACTCACAGGAGGGATGGGGGGGGGAAATATACATCATGCTGAAAGTTCACCCAAATACATACCCTATTACCTACCCATGTGGCAATGAAAAATTATAAATGAAAGTTTATTTGAACAGTTCCCTCTCAACGGCTGGTGGGCTCTTTTTTGTGTTGCTTGTTGGGAAAGAGGGTCTCAAATGAACTTCCTTCGTCTACGATGGGGGCCTTGCAAGTTTGAGAACGTTTCCACATAGGGACCTCTCCAAAGCACAATTTCCCTTTTGTGTGGATTGGATTCCACAGGTTAATCTGGAGGAATGAACTGATTTTTGCCTTATAGGAAAACAAATTTAGATCTCCTGAAATAATCACATCAAACCAGATGTTATGGGGAAGGAAACACAGCTTGTTTTTAATTTCTTTGATCATTTCTCTTCCCACTCAACCTGCGAATAAAGGCTTGTTCTAAAGCCAGATACCCTCTTCCCCCCCTCACCTTTGCACCTTGGGATGGAGGATGGGGGGGGAGAGGCCTTACCCAGTGGTTGGTGCAGGGCCCCTCTGTTTCTGCCAGAATCTTGCCATCTTCAGACAGAAGTACCACCTTGGAGTGGGTTCCTCCCCTGAGAGGGAAGCAAGGAAAAAAACAAAATAAGCCAAGTTTCCAGTGGCAGGGAGTTCTACAGACTTCTTCAGTGATGTTCACCACATGGCATGGACAGAATAAATGACCCAGGATACCACTTGCTATGAGAAAATGGTGGTGGTTTTTTGGTGGGGAGGAGAACGCCAAAAGACAATAAAAGAGAAGAAACAGCAGAAAGCACGTGAATGAGTTACTTTTTAAACCAAGAGAAATTCCAGAATATTTCCCATCGTTTGTCCCTGAAAGGCAAGTGACCTGCTCTCAGGACAGTGTTGTCTGCACTCAGGTGTCAAGAGTAGGCCCTTTTTCTCCAGGTATTGTGGAACCTGGAAATATTATGTGGACTACAACTCCCAAAATCCCCCCTGCTCTGCATAGCCATGACCTACTCTTTTTATTATATGGAAAATCAAAAGTAGGCTGCCTGGCAAAGCTCCCACCTGCTGCGTGGGGGGTCTCAGCAGAGCACTGAGGGGAGACCGTGCTCGGGGCCATGGCACCTGGGGAATTCTGGGAGTTGTAGTCCAAAACCTACTTGTCCCACATGACTTCCCAAGGCTGTTTCACTCAGGCCCAGGCTACGAAATCAGGTTATAAATAAGTCGGCTTCCAGGCATCAGCAGGAGGAGGAAGTGGGCGAACGAGACGGGGCTTCGGGAAATGAGGCTGGCAGGTTGGCCGGCCTTCCCCATGGCAACCTCCAGACGTGGCTTTTCCATCATGAGATTATTTGCAAAAGGAGAACATGCTCAGGACGTTCGGCCTCCTATGCTGACACAGCAAAGTTCAGGCGTGTCCCCGGCCCGATTTGTTTAGCAGACAGTGATCCTCTCAACCTGCCCATTTGTGGCAAGGTGCCATCTCCGCAGCATCTCACCTTCACGCTGGCAGCCACGGCGGCTCTTGCCTCTGTTTCCCTAGCAGCAGCCCCCACCCCCACCCCAAAGTCCTGGCCCGAGAGCAGGGCCTACGGGCTGGGTCAAACTTTTCCTCTGGAACCCACCACTTCAGGACCGCCGAGCTGGAAGGGGCCCGACGGATCCTTGGATTTACGAGGTGGTTGAAGAAGCCCAGCTCTTATCAGGGAGACCAAGCGGGGAATCGAACTCCCAAACGGTCTGGCGACTGCACTCCATATAATGCTTGGCCCCTTTCCTAAGGAGGCTTTACAGGACAAAACAAGACAATTCCATGCCTAAGGATACACAAGCGCCTTAATTGCAAATAATAATAAAAAACGGTTCTCTGACACCAGCCTTAAAAGCCCCTTTTCTCTTTTGGAACATATGCCTCACCTTAAATACCCAGGGGTTGAATTGTGGAGGCTACTCAATATTTGTGCAGCAGCAGTTGTGTCCTGCACACACTCTGTGGCATATATTGTCCACACACTCAAACCTGCATGAGCGTGCATACACACCTAGAGCTGCCAGGGTTGCAACACACACACACACACACAGCTCAAGTTGCATCATGAAGAAAACAGTATCCAGAATGTATTCTGGTTTTTGTTTTGTTTTTTGTGTTTTTTGCCTGTGAGTTCCAGAATCCATTGAGAATCAGGGCTGGCGGATTCTGGGAATGACTGGCCCCCAAAGTCAGAGGTCTAAGCCAGGCTTGTCCAACCCACGGCCCGCGGCCCGCATGCGGCCCAGGAGAGCTTGTAATGCGGCCCAGTGCTTAGGGCAGGAAAACTCTGACTTTCCTCTAGAGCACCACTTGCACCCGGCAAGGCAAAAGGGCTGCGCCACTGGCCACGGATGCCCAAACGGCCGGTCAGGCTCCACAGCCCTTTGCAGAGCCGGGTAGCTGCCGGGAGGACCGACGCTTCAGCCTGTGCCTCCTTCCCTGGCGCTCCGTCTGCTCGGCAGGCGCCACTCCAGCGAGTATTTACACTCCCCAAAAAGGCTGGGGGAAGGCGGAGCCTCCACTTCGTCGCCCTGCTTTCGGGGCTGAGGCGCCTCTGAGAGCGAGGGGGCGGCCTGGGTGTTGGCGGGACGACCAGCGCTGAATCTTCTTCGCCCTTTCTTGAGGAGTAAAACGGTGCTGCTCCCCCTCCCCCGTGCGCTCATTGCACCCGGGCCAGCGGGGCATTCCCTTCCCGTCTCTCTCAACCGCGGCAGCTGCTTTCGCTCCCTCTGGCAAGACCGGCCTCGGGGGGTGGGAGACCTCGGCGAAGCGCACGAGGAACCTCTGAGATGCAAAGCCGAGGGAGAAGAGTCGGCTGCAAACGCTGCCTGGGAGCCGGGGGGTGCGGCAATGAGGACTCCATGGCGCCCGCGGGAGGCTGTCATGCCTGAGGGCGCGCCAGGGTCCTCCCCGTGACTGGCACATGCAACAGGCTGCGTTTTCCCTGAGGTAGGAAAGTGAAGCATGACATGCTCCTGGGTTCCCTGCCGTTGGCCCGGTCTGCCCTCCGCCCTGCTCCACATGCTGCTGTTGCTGGGCGTGGCATCAGGGCACCCACAGTGCCTGGACTTCAAGCCGCCGCGCCCGCTCACCTTCTGCATGCAATACTTGGCTGCTGCGATGCACAGCGCGACTCCGCCCTCTTGGAGCGCTACTACAGCATCAGCGGGCACCTCGACCAGGCCACCTACGCCACCTGTGCCAGCCACCTGCAGGACCTTCTCTGCCTGCCTCCGGGGCGCAAAGCCGAGGGAGAAGAGGCGGCTGCAAACGCTGCCTGGGAGCCGGGGGGTGCGGCAATGAGGACTCCATGGCGCCCGCGGGAGGCCGTCATGCCTGAGGGCGCGCCAGGGTCCTCCCCGTGACTGGCACACGCAACAGGCTGCGCTTTCCCTGAGGTAGGAAAGCAAAGCATGATGTGCTCCTGGGTTCCCTGCCGCCGGCCCAGGCTGCCCTCCGCCCTGCTCCACACGCTGCTGTTGCCTGGCGTGGCGTCAGGGCACCCACAGTGCCTGGACTTCAAGCCGCCGTACCTGCTCACCTTCTGCGTGCAATACTCAGCTGCTGCGATGCGCAGCGCGACTCCGCCCTCCTGGAGCGCTACTACAGTGTCAGCGGGCACCTTGACCAGGCCGCCTGCGTCAGCCACATGCAGGACCTTCTCTGGCAGGTGAGCCACGGCTGGGTGGTGGGGTGGGGTTGGCTGCCAGCCTTCCTTCCTTCCTCCCTCCCCTATGCTGAGCCTTCAAGAGATGCCGACTTGGCTCCTTGGTTTCAGAGTTTGGGCACGTTTCTCTTCTGGACTACAACACCCACAATCCCTAGGCAGCCTTAGCCTTGCTGCGCCTCTTCTGACCTAAACTTGCCACTCTTGGGATAAATGGATGGTGTGGATGGCTAGGTAGCTCAGTGGTTTAGGAAAAGGTAGGGGTTCAGTTCCTTGCTGTACTTCTGTGAGAAGAGCCAGCCTCAATAGCTGCACAGTCCCAGGGCACCCCCAGAAGAAGGGAAGGGTAAACCACCTCTGAGTATTGTCTACCTGGAAAACAGTGAAAAGGGTTGCCATAAGTCAGAATGCACTTGACCACAGATGTTGTTACTGGAGGGCTAGAACTCGGTGTGAAAGAGCAGTACGGTGGTGCCTCGCATTGTGACATTAATTTGTTCCGCAAAAATTGCTGCAGAACGAAAACGTCACAACGCGAAATAAAAAAGCCCATAGAAACGCATTAAAACATTTCTGGTGCCTCTTAAGCGAGGAATCCGTCCCAGAAAACAGCGGCCGGCCATGTTTTTTCCCCATTGGCCATTTTTAAACCGTCAATCAGCTGGCTGAAAATGGCCGCTTTGCGATGATTGGTCATCACAAAGCGAAATTCCCCCATAGGGAACATTGCAAAGCGATTGCTTTTGCAATCGCAAAAAATGCATCGCAAAGCGATTTCGTCGCTAAACGGAGCGATCGCTATGCGAGGCACCACTGTATTATGGAAAGGGTTTTTTTTGTTTTTAAGTTACTTTTGTAACTTAAAAACAAACTTGCATCTCTCTCTTTGATTGCTTGCTAGTGATACCACATACACATACACAAAAAATAGTGGCTTCTTAACCTTGCTGGAATGTCATTGCTAGAATGCCGGCTGCTTTTTGATTACTTCTTCATTCCTTGGTTTTTAAAATTTTTAAATAGCCTAAATGTGGGTGAGAAAATTCAAAAGGAACATCTTTACACTTCTTTGTGTTCCAAAAAGTAACCATTGCAGGTAATGTAACAAAACATTTTTTAATAAAGTAAAATGTGGACAAATGGAAAGCATCATTCCACTGTTGTTCAGAGTTAAAGTCTCTTTCCCTCTTTCAAAAATGTAAGAGGTGACCTGCCGGATTGGATCCAAGTCTAGTATGTTGCTTACTCATTAGTCAAGTGGTTCTGAGAAGCCAGAAATGCACAGCCTCTGAAACAGTAGTAGGCTTGGGTATCCTTCACTTCACAATCATGCCTTATTCACGTCATCGCTATTTGGAAGCACCTGCATTTGTGAGCAGCTATTTTCAAGGATGAAGCACACAAAGAATAAAACTAGAACCAAAATACAGTATCTGATGAGCACCTTGAGCACTAACTGAGAATTGCAACAAGTTCCATCAAACCAAATATGGATGCATTGGTGGCTGAGAAACAATGTCAAAAGAATAAAACTAGAACCAAAATATCTGATGAGCACCTTGAGCACTCACTGAGAATTGCAACAAGTTCCATCAAACCAAATATGGATGCATTGGTGGCTGAGAAACAATGTCAAACATCTCACTAACTTCATTTCCAAATAAATTTAATTTGTTAACTATGTTTTCTATGGGGTTTTTTTGGGGGGGGGATGATCAGGCAGCGTTACTGTTATTTTATTTTATGTGCGGCCCAAACCAAATTTTCATCTTCTAATGTGGCCCAGGGAAGGGGAATGGTTGGACACCCCTGGTCTAAGCTATGTTCCTTTGTACAGTTTCTTTCTTGCTGCACTCCATCCGCAAGGAGGACAAGCTTAAACAAGGTGGATTGTCA